AATCTCTGGTACACCAGGAAGAAAAGTTACCAGCTAGATCTCTGGTACACCAGAGGAAAAGTTACCAGCTAGATTTCTGGTACACCAGGAAGGAAAAGTTACCAGCTAGATCTCTGGTACACCAGGAAGGAAAAGTTACCAGCTATATCTCTGGTACACCAGGAAGAGGAAGTTACCAGCTATATCTCTGATACACCAGGAAGGAAAAGTTACCAGTTAGATCTATGGTAGACCAGGAAGAGGGAGCTACCAGCTAGATTTCTGGTACATGTACAGTTATCTAGATATTGTAAACAGATAGAAAAATACACTTATTTTTACACATTATGCATCATATAATAGCAACTTTCTGCATTTACGTTACTTAAAAGTGTACACATTACACCAATACTCAAGTAATCTATCACCAGCAGTCTTTATGGAAATAACTTGTATCTGATCAGCTTCACATTAACTTGGGCGCATTCAAGGCATTTGCTTGTTTATTAATATTCGAATATTGTATTACGTTTTCAAGCTCTACCGATGTGCTATTTCTATTGCTGCTTCTCGCCATTGTCAATTCGAAGATATTTCTTTAAAAATTAAAATGAATCAAGAACTACATTATACATTTAACGAACGAAAAAAAATTTAAAAAGTTGGGTGTTGTGTATTGGAGGCACAAATGCTAAGAACGAGAAAGTAGATACAGTGTCTGAGAACTGTGTTCAACCTTAAATGTAGCTTCAATAAGGAATAACTCGGTGAATCTTGTAAAGATAATAAATTCTAATCCTAATGTGTATTTAATGGTATTTGAACGGATGAAAATCATTTTGAAATTTTACGTGGAGGCCCAAATTTCGTGGCTACGCCATTAACATCATTCTCTATTGAAATACAAGATTAGTTCATCACTATGACCCTATCATATGTCATTTACAAATAGCAAGTACAATTAATGCCAGGTTGTGAAATGGTGATGTTAATTTCAAAGTAAACAGAGTGTGATGTGTAAACAGTTCATAAATGGTGTGAATTATTCTACATGTTTTATGTTCCCATGCAATACAATATTTTTCTCGTTACACAAGTCATCAAGGAGCGTCTTAGTTTACAACACAGAACGCGTGCATTTTGTGGAAATAAAACCATCAAATTAAAAGTATTTATTTCATTAATTCAACTTTGACACAAATATGGTACATAAAATCAGATATATCCATTTTTACATTACATTCAGTGGAAATACCAAGAGTGTAAAACCTCAAGATGCACATAATTACACTTAAAGCACTGATTTATAGATAGCTTTTTATTATCGGGAGTTACTTTTCGCGCCCTCCCCTCTCCATACCGGATATTTCCATCTCATTTTGACTACAGAATTGTTCATACAAGTTTCAAAGTCTACGAGACCATAGTAAAATCAAGACCACTTGAAATTCTGGGAAAATGATATACATACATAGAGTTGGAAAGCATCATGAGTACTACAGCATAGTACATAAACAATAAGACTGACTTATATA